AGACTCGGATCGTTTACAGCCCTAATTCAAACTACGCCCGGCAGCATCCCTAAAATTCTCGTATTCCGGCATATAAATCCGTACCTTCAAAAATCAAAGGGGCACTTGCAAACGCCAAATTTCTATGTATGTACATATCTAACACCTAAACTTCTAAAATTTTACCAACAAAATCCGTCATATCAGAAAAAAATATCACTATTTGACGTCTTAAAAGGGAAATACATATTTTCAGGCATGGAAAGCTTAGCATGAAATATAAAAAGAGAAGTTGAGATGTTGGATATATAAATACATAGAAATTGAGTGGTGTATATGTAAACCTTCAAAAATCAAAGCAAAGGGCTAGTTCACTGTACATTGTAAAATTCATAAACAATACAGTCGATAAAAACAAAATATTATCCACCGTCGACTCCTCCACAATTATCTGAAGGTTTAACTTAGCGTTAATTAAAAACAAAAGCCTTTATAAACACCCAGCACAGACCGTCCAAGAAGCCCCGAGTCCCAACCTAAACAACCCTTCCACCATCACCTTCAACAAATTTCACCATCAGCCTAAAATTTTAATCATAAAATCTAGTACCCCATCAGAATGACTTCGTAAAGGTTACCGTGTTGAACTCGTAAACTGGACAACGATGACGCTGATATTATCCCTGCTGCCTTGGGACATGGCGAGCTCGGCCAACAGATTGGCCGCATGGGCCGCCGACTGGCCGCTCACCATATGAGGAAAAAGCTTTGCAGCTTGTCCCGATAAGCATTTTCGGGTAATTCTGCAGGCTACTTCGTTGGTGATGACATCCCATAAGCCGTCGCTGGCAAGTATGAGGAACTCATCCTTCTCATCCCGCTCAGTCATGGTGATCTCTGGCTCTGCTGTCACATAGGGTTTCAGGTAGTAGTCACCTGCAGTAACATTGTCTTGGATTAAGGATGGATGAAGGTATTATGTGAATGTATTAGTTCTGATTTCATAAATATTATGTGATTTTAAATTGGCTTAGTTGTGAAAATATCAATTAAAACGGAAAAAAGCCGTTGGGGATCATTTTAATTTTTAATTTTTATTATACTTTAGCTTAAATTTTAAATATTTAATTGAGATATTAAAAAGGCCAAAATATTGTTGTATGTTTTGATTTTTTTCAATTTAACAACTAATTGATTTATTTTAAAAATTAAAAATTAAAAATTTATAAATATTTATACTAAATATATTTTCAAAAACCAAAAATAAATAAGATAAAAAACATAAACACAAACGATACCAAATAAATCCTAAGCATTCGTAATGAAAAATACGATGCCATGATTATAACTGGCATATCTGCTGCAAACAAGAAATGAAAAACAAGTTCATTTTAAACCAAATATATAATAGTAATAATAATAATCACAAATTCAAGCTCATTTCAATTAAATTATTTTACAACTTTCGGGGACAAAATGACGTGCAAATTGAGCTCAAAAGAAGAAAAAAACAAAAAAAAAAATACAAAAACCAAAAAACAGGAAAAAAAACAGATTCATCTAATTCCAACAAATATGATCCGTTCGTGCATAACTGCCCTTGAAGCAGGCTCAAATAAAACAAAAGACTACAAAACCCATCACAGCCATCACATCTTAAACTTCACATTTTACATTTATACCACCAAAAATTTTCAGATCACAATCACATCGATAAGAGGAGCATGTTTACCAACATAACTATGGTAAGCATTACATATCTCTCTCTGTCTCTCTCTCTCTCCCTCTCTTGAAGTTTACGAATTAAATAAGTAATTGCATAAGAATTTAGTGGTATGTGCACAAATCTTACCAAAAAAACAAAATAAATAAATAAATAAAAACCAAGGCCCTAAATTTATCCGGATATACCAACAGATAAACAATCATCAACCCAAAAGTTGAAGCAAATGAATGAGTACTGCTAGTATATTAGAAATTTAACTTGCTTTACTTTTGATATGGGACTAATCGCCAACTCTAATGTGGATCTGATCAAAATAAGGCTCCAATAGTAGGGGATTAATTCTCCATAATAACAATACCCATAAATAACAGCATAAGCGCACAGATGAATTTTATACGCCACATTATCATTCATAAAATCCACATACCTATAGATCTGGAAGTAGAAAGCACTCCAAGGATGCGATAACCGCCCCAATTGATGACCCTTCCCCCTGCTGCTGCTACTCTTTCCAGTTCATCAGGTCTGTTTGGCTGTGCGGTGAGGAGGAAGAAACCTATGTTTTAGTATTTCTGACATCTAAGGAGAGAAGCCACAGTACTTAAAAAAACAGAAGAAAAGAAATAGGAAAATTGATTGAATTATCTCATTTTTTTATGCTACTATCGACAGAGGAATCAAGCAATGTTGTTGCTATGATTCCTATAAGTAGAGTTTAAGCCTAAACTATTATAAAGAGGCATGAATGATGACGTTTAAGTCAAAACTAGGGTCCCAATTGTAATTAAGTAGTAGCAATCATTAGAATAAAGCCTGCACAATTGACCAATAGGCTCGGACGCTTCTACTCAATTAAAACTAAATAATTTATATGCGTTGAGCTTAAGAAAAGGTCTTCTGGTTGACTCATTGCCTTTGAATGCTGTGACTGGAATCTTTATTTTGTTACCAAACACAATAACTTCACAAATTTCAAACAAAAATCTTACAGTAGGAGACTGAAGACCACAACAACTCAGAATAGTTTTAAGTTTTCAAAGATCAAGCTGACAAGCCCTGGCTGATTACCTAGAATTTTGCTCAACCTCCAATAGGGCGGCGGAGGTTTGAAGCCCTGGCAGCCATCTCATTTCATTCGTGTAAAATTTTTGAAATAATAAATTCAAGCAATATCAAATCTTAATTTTTACAAATTAAAAAATGGAAGAATGTAAAGAATGTTACTTTATTTATAAATATATTTAAATTAGGTTCAAAAAAGTTTAATGGTTAATCAATTCATGACTCACGATGAAATGAAATGAATTGCTTTATTTCGGATAATATAATATCCATTTTATTTTTTAACATCATTTCATTTATATAAGAGATTTGCGCACCTTAAAAAAAAAGAGTCTGATTCCACCTGAAAGCATGTAAGGTCATTAAAAATTTCACCAAAAATAATGCGAAACAAAACCTTGTGGTCCGTGGAAAGCGGAACGGCCACACCGGCACGACATAGAACGGCCCTTGAATCCCCACAGTTGGCCACAAAAATCCTTTTCCTACCCACTACGGCCACCACTGCCGTCGAACCCATAGTTCTTTCCGCCGCCGCTGCCTCCCCATCCGCCGCCGCAGCGGACACCTCCCCATCCACCTTCGCAAAACTAACGGCCATCGCCTCTCTCCACTTACACTCCTCCTCCTTCCCCTCCTCAATATTCCCCACCTCCTCCGCCAAGACCACGTGCATCCTGTCCCGACAAACCCTAGCCACCGCTGCGCCACCGTGCCCATCATACACCGCGAAGAAATCGTACTCCCCGCCAACGAAAGCTAGCTCGATGGTCACCTCGTCCTCCATCTCGCTCCGCCGTCCGATCAGCGATATCCACCCGTGATCGGCCGGAACTGATTCCCTAGTTGACGGGGAGTTGGACTCTGACGACAAATTAGACATCGATCTATCTTCTTCTTCACGCATCCTCTTCACTGGGGCATCCGTTTCAGCTCCAGTAGATTTCTTCTGCCGGAGATACAGACGGCGCAACCTAGCTGACTGCACCTTCTTGCATAGAGAGACCTTCTCCTCCCTTGCATCCATGGCGGGCCAAACCATTTCTTTCGTCATCTCTTTCTTCTCCCGCTCCGACACGCAGCGGAAGAGAAAGAGAAAGAACCTGGGGACAGAATTATTAATAAGAATTTTGTTTGGGGGTATTTGAAAAAGAGGCCGTTAGATTGCGAAAGGACGATCATGCATGCCACGTGTTGAAAATGGACAAGACCGTGCCGTAGTCGCATCAGAAACGGAGAGACGTGGACGGGTGTGATTCCATTTGATGGTGCACGTGGTCGTTGGATGTAAGGCTAGAAGATATTGGCCCCCGGCCGAGATTTGAATTTGGACAGGCATGGAGTCTAGTTATACACCGGGGGTGTCTTGGCTTGATCGCCGTCCATTTGTGGACGAGCAGATTAGTTCGGTGACGTGTGTAGAGAGATGGAAAGGGTTGTGACTTGTGAGAGCGCCTGGAAATAAATATCAATGAGTAAGATTGCGCCGGGGAGACATGCCCAGGAGGTCTATGGGCCGGATCCACGTGCCGTGTACCGCTTGATTTTGGGAGGAAAAGATGTCCTACCGAACATGGAATGTGTTAAAAATTATATTTTTTTACTACATTGGGATGATAAACTATGTCATTATATGAATCTTAAAACATATAAGCTGCACATTTCCCGCAAAATTTTCTAGTGTAGTGAATAAGACTTCATTTTGTGGAAAGGGTTGTGGGAATGGAAAAAATATTATATATGTGTGTGACTTCCAAAACATATGAATGCGATAAATTGGACTTTTTTCAGAGTAATGAAACATTTAGACTTGATTATGACTGTTTTAATAATGTTATAATTTTTTATACAAGCAATAGACTGAATAAGTATAATTTATGTTGTGCTCATTTTGTTGGGGTTAACCACCATTGGTAAAATGTTCTCTTTGGAGTAATTTTTTATCCGACGAGACGATTGATTATTTCAAGTGGCTATTCAAAATATTCTTTCGTATAAAAGTTGGCAAGCATCCAATAACAATTTTACTAATCTAGATCAAGCAATGACAAGAGTTATTGAAGATTGATTCCACATATATGACATAGATTATGCCAACGACAAATCTACAAGAAATTATTTTTGAATGTGCATTTTGGTATGAGTAGCAAGTGTGTAAACGATTTTTTTTATAAATGCATGAGCTAATGTGATTCTGAGGAGAAGTTTGAAGAAATTTATTTTATAATGATTGCGAAAGAAAACCTACACTGCAACATTTGGTTAGATGATTTGTACAGTATCATACATAAGTTTTCAAGAATCATTAATAACAAAATATTAGAAATGAGAATTTTATCAGCACAGAGAAGTGAGTTCATAAATAATATATGTTATGGTGCTGCAAGCCAACAAACTCTCTTACCGGCTGTTTTGTGGGTCTTAAAAATTTTATGAAATCACGGAGATGGAATGAGAAGGACAAAGATTTCAAATGTGTTTAATCTGTAATTGCGCCCGTGGTTAAAAGCAACTCAATGTTGCGGTAGACAACTTCATTTTATATGAGGAAGCTATATTGAATGTTTGAGGAAGAGTACATAAATGAGTTGTGTGGTGTATTGTGGAATGGTCTGTATGCTGTGATTTATAATTTTACATAAAAAAGTTAGATAATCATGAGACAAAGAAACCCTGAATTATTAAAATTGACAACATTAATTCTGAGATCACGTGCAGCTGTAAAAAAATTGAAATGAAGGGGTTATTATGTACTCACTCTCTACGAGTTCTTAACTTAAAAAATATAATAAATATTCCTGATAAAATTTCTTATTGCGATGGTCTGTTCAAGAAAAAGGGGACATCTATAACACTTATGAATATAAACATCTCAAGGACTCCCTAATGTTGAATTGCTCTTCAAGTGGCCTTCAATTTCGCTCACATGTTCAAAAGTTTACATATCAAATTAATAATAAAGCACAAGGAAATGAACTTGTTGAAAAATGTATGTTGGAATCATTGAAAAATTATAAGTGGATGTTGAAGACCTATTAAGTAGGAAAAAACCTCAATCAAAGAAAAAACCAAAAAAGAAAAAAATAGCAAAAAAGTCAATGCAATTTAAATGACCTAATGAAGATGCAACCATATGGAATATCTAATTCTAGGTTATGGGGTATTGGAAAAAAAATAATAGACTAAAAAGTATATATTTCTTCATTCAAAAATAGTCTTACTCTATGTAACATTACTTTTCTGTAACTTGAATCATGGTATACAAGAAATGAAAAAAAAACTTCATTAAGCCAAGAGCCAGTTATCTCATGTGAGGCAAATTTCTTTGCAATATTGGATTGTCTCATCCATGTACCATTAGACTACTTTTTTAATTAAAATATGTTTCTAAACATTCAGTTGTACTTACTCCAAAATGGTAGAAGTACTTAACACCGTAACCCACAGAAACATATACGAGCCTCTTGATGGATTCCATTAGTGAGTTCTAAGTGTATAATTAATTAGTTCATCTAGTTAGAGTGCTTCAAGCTTGATCTACTCTTAATTTATGTTCTCTATTGTAATTTAAAATATAAATTCATTTTTCGGTTAATTAATCTTCAAGCATGTATGTAGTCATTTATACAATTGAAAATGGCCTTATGGTCAGTTAATATGAGTTTTGATGTTAATTTGGTTTATTATTGAACTTGATGTTTTGTATAGCTTCTAAGTATGTTTTATTGTAAAATGTTCTACTATGTTTTATTGTAAAATGTTCTACTGTGATATGTTTACATTCATGACTAGATTAACAACTATTGTACTATAACAACTTTAGCTCCCAATAACACCATGGCAATTCCCCAATAATACCACAAAACCATGCTAATAACAATGAAACAATTAAAGCTCCCAATAACACCACAAAACTACCGCAACAACACTACAAAAATGACCCCAATAACCCCGCATCACCTCCGTGAAATTATACCTTCAACACCACCTCAAAGTCATGCGAATAACACCCAAATAATACCTCAATAACACCACAAAACAAATAGAATAACACTGTTTCAGACAAATACACTAATAACACCATGAGTTCGCTCCAATAACAAAACAATATGCCCCCTATAACACCGCAATAACACCGAAAAATGATGCCATCAACCACAATGTAAAACCACGCCAATAACACCACAATAACTCCCTGATAACGCTACAAAACACCGCCAATAACACCCAAGTAATACCTCAATAACACTGAAAAAAAATGAGAATAACACTACCTCAGAAAACACATCAATAACAATACAGATTCCTTCCAATAACAATGCAAGCGACCCTGGTAACACCACAATAAGACAACAAGATTGGCATGTTACTGCGGTGTTGTTGACGTGTTCCGCGGAGTTATTAGGGTTTTCCAAGATGTTATTGATGTTTTTCGCGGTGTTATTTGAGCTTTTTGTCGAGTTATTGGATTTTTTTCTATGGTGTTACTGAGGTCGATACCATGGTGTTATTGAGGTGATGACACAGCCTTACTAAGGGAATATCGTAGTGCTATCAAGGTGGATACCACGGTGTAACTGTGGATAACACAGTGTTATTGAGGTTATACTACGGTGTTATTGAGGTGATACTGTAGTGTTAATGAGGTGATATCATGATTTTAATGAGGTGATACCATAATAAAACCACAATAACACGAAAATAACTCCCAAATAACACCATTTGGGTAACTCAGTCGATCCACCACAATTCTCTCAAAAAATAACACTAACACCGCATTGATTGCCCCAATAATATGCAAAATTAAAAAAATTTCCAAATAACACCACAGGTGTCGCATGACCACACAAATAACACCACCTAAAGCCACAATAAAACTGGATTAAATCGCAATGACATGAAAATAACAATTTGGGTAACTCAATTGAGTCGCCATAATTCCCTCAAGTAACATGCCAATATCATCATAAATACTTCTGCATTAATAATGATGCAATGATTAACCCAATAATACGTGAAATTATATAAGTTCAAATAACACTACATTTATTGCAAGACCACGCAAATAACATCGCCTAAAGTCACAATAAAATTGCATTAAAAACATTATAACAAAGAAATAACATCGCAATAAAGCCATTTGGGTAACTCTGTTGAGCAGATGCAATTTCATTAAATCACCGTGCCAATAGCACCGTGATGATTGACATGTCTAAAAATATTCAACTTTTATATATACATTTAATGCTTAGTTTTAGTGATATTTCACTTTAAATAAAAGTAATTTTCATGTTTTTGTTACAGGTACTCTAAGTCAGGAATTTGAAGCTGAAAGGAAACAAAAAGAACAAAATTTGGAGTCAAAAAGCCACCTTTTGAAAACTTTCAATGGCTCGTAAGCGCCATAATACAGAGAAGGATGCGCCTAGGCACCAAATTTAGGATCTTAGGTGCCAGAGACGGTTATTTTCCAAATACATTAAATTTGGACGACTTATGAAGGGGTACCAAAGGAGACTCTTGGGAATTCGACCCTACATTATTTAAGAGTAATTTTATGACAAAAAAGGTGTGTTCATTAGTGTGTATTAGTAGGAATTAAGTGGTGTGAGAGTGTTAGAGAGGATTAGTGAGAAGTTTCTTCAAGAGTTGTAAGAGGAGAGGTAAAATAGGAGACATCTTCTTCATTACATTTTTAAGAGAGAATTAAGTAAATATTGTAAGCAGAGAAAGTGTTTCAAAGGTACTTTAAGGGATTTTCTTGGGGAGGAGGTTGAAATAAGTTGTATTTTATTTTTCCTTATTGTGTAAACTTGTTTTTATATATAAATTCATTTTTTTATTGTATCTTGCTCATGAAATCTGAGTAGTTTATTTTGTCTTTCTCCCTAGAATGAGATATAGTCATGTGAAGAATCAAAATTATTTAAATCCATTTTAATTTTATAATTGTGATGATTCAAAATTTATTCTTCATTTACTTATCAATCTAGCCAATTGATTTGTTAAAATTTGTTATCAAACATATGATTTGAGAGGGCTATGCTTTTCAAAATCACATTTGATCTTATGAATGTGAATGTAGTTCATGGGCTCAAATGTAAATAAATATGGAAATATGTT